CACGACCAATGTGATGGACTTTATTCAAAAAGGAGTATGAATTACTGTGTTAATTAATTAATTAAAATCGTGATTGCTCTTCGTGTCAGATGCTTATTACTTCTATTTATTTGCAAGCTTCAATGTTGTGGCCCTAGAAGTTATACGGACTGGACTGCAAATCGATACTTTGCTTGTAATCAAACCATAGAAAGTACGGAGGCATGTGGTGTTCCTTATTCTTGTTGCCGTAAGATGAATGATATCAATGTATGCATATTATTACAAATATACTTATAGGCTAATGTGATCAATACTTCATGTGGATTTGGTGTTCAACTATTATTGGTTCACCTTGCTGCTCGCCAAGTATGGACTACGGGCTGTGTACAGGCTTTGGTTACAGCGGTGGAGACGAATGTCATTTCCGTTTCTTGCACCATTGCTGGGATCGTTGTATTGCAGGTTGGATATATAACTTTTCCTTTTGCTACGTGTAGTTTGATAACCTTGATTAATGTTTGTGATTTTATAGACACGCCAAATGTTTTATATTTACTTTTGTCTGAACGTCTAGTCAATATGCTTAAATATTTTAATACTTCAAGTTCTTCAGGATTTATTACTATTTTTCCTTTTCCTTTATAGCTTGTTGCTATACTACTTGCCAAAACGCTCCACACCCAAATAGGAGATCAACTTCGATTACTTCGTCAAAACAGCATTTCATTCTAGTCTAGAAATTATCAGGGAGTGATGATTTCTGTATTTCTTCATACCGTTAGCATTTCTTTGCCAGATTCTACTTATTATTTTAACGCTTATTACATCTCCTTCCGTGTACATTGGCAACTCTGTATATTATTGTAACCCGCATATGTCTATTTCTGTCAATTCGAATTAAATATTTTTTATTTTCAATTGATAACTTTTCCCTTCTGAATAAGCTCTGAATTGTTTCCCTAAGCGATATATAGTTGTAAATCAATTTCTCGTCTTACGATTACTCTAACAAGTATTATATATTTGTTTATTTGCAGCCTACGATACTTAAGCAGTTGATATGCCGATTTTTAATAGAAAATTCACTGTGCCTAAATTTCCTCAGCGTAAAGCTTCAAGTATGAGCAATTTAAGCCAGTTAGATGGGAGTGTGCGCAACGTAGAGTTTGGTCTAGACTACGGAAATCAAGTTAGGACCCGCTTGAGTGGAAAAAGCCTCGTTTTTCAGGGCGGTGAATGGATGATAGGTAAGTTATATTCGTGATGGCTTGATCTTCGAGACTATTTCTATTCTGATAGATAAGTTAATCTAAGACCGAAGCGCTTCATATACTGTTTCATGTTAGTCTATAACAATGTTCTGTTATATTTTAAAATTTTCTTCATATATTTACTAAATAATATTAAGAATTAATTCACTAACATATTCTTGCTGCCTCTACTTTTTTAAATTAAACTTTTTGTAGAAATTTTTTGGCTTTGTTTTCGCAACTTGGTCATATTGGTATGAAAACGTAGAGGAACGCATCTAGTCCGGAGTCCATTGTATGCATAATAATTTCCAGAGTTGGACAGTGGACGTGGTACATTCTCAGACGTTTCGCCGGCATCATCAGTAAGTCTTTTCATTCTTATCATTAGACTACAGCTCGTCAAAGTGACAAGTTGTACTAAGAATGGCAAGATTCACTGACGATGCCGGCGAAACGTCTTGGAATGTACCACGTCCACGGTCTGACTCTGGAAATGATCATGCATACAATGGATTCCGGACTAGGTGCTTTCCTCTAAGTCTTCCTACCAATATGACCAAGTTGCGAAAACAAGGTCAAA